GAATGGGGTTATAAAATTTCTATGTAAAAACACATAAAAAGTGGAAAAAGTTCAATTCCGTAACTTAGCCATATTTGGAATGCATTACTCTGGAAGGGACAAATGCTCATGTGTGTTTTCCTTTTGCATAGAGACCATATTATAGATGCTCTTCAGGAAGTAAGAATAAATCATAAAGGTTTTCTGAATGGCTTATCTATTAATACTATTGTGGAAATGACTTCATCTGTTTTGAAAAGGTCTGCTTCCAGTTACGAATAAAAGAAGCAATAAGAGGTAAGTCAGTCATATCTTTTATATTTAAATGTTACTTAAAAATTTTAAGCTATAGATTTCATTTTCTTTTCAAATAAAAAGAATATTAAATTTAAAATGATATAAAATTAAATAAACATTCTGTATTTAGTTCACTATTAATAATGAAATAAATATAAAATAAAATAAATAAGAAATACAAACTTCATTATCCCTAGGTAATCTAATTTTGTACATTGGAAAATTCTGAGGATTCTACACATAAACTATTAGAATTAAAATGGTTGCTTATCAGCAAAGACAGTACACAAAAATCAATTACTGTTCTACATGCTGTCCATAATGTTAGAAAAATTATTTTTTAAAGATATTTTTAGTAGCATTAAAAATATCAAATACTTAGGAGTATGTCTAAAAAAAGATATTTAAGACCTCTATCTGAAAACTACAAAACATGGAGAGAAATTAAAGAAATCCTAAATGATGAGGGATTCTAATTCTCAATTTGAGGGATATGGCCTCTGTAGATTAAAGACTCAATAGTGTAAAGAGGTTTTTTCCCCGTGCTATCCAAGCACTCAGTGCCGTCTTAGGAAAATCCCAATAGGATATTTCTATGGAACTTGGCAAGCAGATTCTCAAAGTTATGTGGAAATATAAAAGATCAAGAATAGGGGCTGGCCCCGTGGCCGAGTGGTTAAGTTTGCGCGCTCCGCTGCAGGCGGCCCAGTGTTTCGGTGGTTCGAATTCTGGGCGCGGACATGGCACTGCTCATCAGACCACGCTGAGGCAGCGTCCCACATGCCACAACTAGAAGAACCCACAACGAAGAATACACAACTATGTACCGGGGGGCTTTGGGGAGAAAAAGGAAAAAAAATAAAATCTTTAAAAAAAAAAAAAAAAAAAAAAGATCAAGAATAGCCCAGACTTTTTTTTTTTCAAGATTTTATTTTTTCCTTTTTCTCTCCAAAGCTCCTCGGTATATGGTTGTATATTCTTCATTGTGGATCCGTCTAGTTGTGGCATGTGGGACTCTGCCTCAGCGTGGTTTGATGAGCAGTGCCATGTTGGCACCCAGGATTTGAACCAACAAAACACTGGGCCGCCTGCAGCGCGAGAGCGCGAACTTAACCACTCGGCCATGGGGCCAGCCCCTAGCCAAGATTTTTTTTAATAAAAATAAGGTAGAAAGACTGACTTTATCACAAATTAAGATGCGTGTAAAGTGACAGGAAGATGGTATGATATTGGCACAAGGATAGACAAATAGATCAAAAGAATCACAAAGAGAATGCAGAAACAATGTTATGAGTCTTTATTCACTTGATTAGGACAAAGGTATCATTGCAAAGCAGCAGAGAATAGAACAGTCTTTTCACTGATGATGCTGAGGGGCCGACCCAGTGGCACAGTGGTTAAGTTCACACGCTCCACTTTGGTGGCCCGGGGCTCACAGGCTCAGATCCTGGGCACAGATCTACACACCACTCATCAAGCCACGCTGTGTCAGCATCCCACACAAAATAGAGGAAGATGGACACACACAAAATTAAAAATGTATTTTTAAAAATAAAAAATGCTGGATTAATTAGATATCCACATGAAAAGAAATTCTCACTATCACGCTGACAGGCATTCTAATACATTGCTGTTGGTACAACCAATGCAAATGAAATTCATCAGTGTCTATAAAAATTGCATATGCATTTGCTCTTTGACCCAGAAATCACACCTCACCAGTCTGTGTCTAGATACACTGGCAAATACAAAATGACTTAGGCACAAGTTTGTTTTTGTGGCATTGTTTGTAATTGCAAAAGATTGGAAACATCTACATATTAGTTATTGTGCCGTCATAAGAGAATAAGAAAGATCTGTACACTGATGGGGCAGTCTTCAGTAGCTATTGTTAAGTGACTAAAGCAAAGGAGATAATATATATAATCTGCTGTCTTTGGGTAAGAAGGCAGAAAATATTAATATACATGTGTGTTTGTTTATATTTGTGAGAAGAAACTCTGGAAGAGAAGCTGATAAAATGATTATGTGCAGAGGGTGGGGGTAGGGATAGAAAGGAAACTTGTCTCTTAGTTGAGACTTTGGAAACATCAGTGCTTTACATATGCACATATAAAATTAATGAAACCAGTTGTATATTGAATTGGTCATGTAACGAGCTAAAAGGAATTATTTCAGCTATATTAAAATAGCATTTGAGTATACATCTTATAGATATATATTCTGAGAACGACTAGAGCTCTAAAAATATCATAACTGTATGTAATTGTCTAAAGTAATATAATTATTTTGAAACTTTTATATAGAGAGAATAATTATGTTAATGTTAGGAACCAGGATCTTTGTTGTACAAGAAAAAAGATACAGGTAAAAAGTCAATAGTTGAATTTCAGAATCCTGTACTATTACATTTTAATTGGAAATATAAATTCATGATTCTGTTCTTCAAAAATACATTTTAGCTCTATCCACTGAAAATACTTAGAAGTAGCAACAACCTAGTGACACTGAGCACAGCTAGCGCCCAGATTGTCAGCTCTAAATACCATTTCCTGCTTTCTTCCTTTTTTTTCTTTTCATCTTTGCAGCCACTCATTTAAATAGACTGCATTATGTTTACTTTCTTAGCCATCTTCCTGTCATCTTGTTTCTACCCCCAGTAATCTATTCAGCCTAATCCTGATAATCCCCAAGTTAGTTCCCAAATAATCAGTTAAGTGCTTTCCTCATTCTTCATCCTCCTAAACCAAACTATACAGGTTAGTGAATTTTTACGTAACTATGCCCAGGTCTGTATACCAGGTCAAGGTACATAAGGTTTCTGGCACCTCAGAAAGCTTCTCTGTGTCCCTTGTCACATACCCACACACCCCCTAACCACAGAGGTGACCTTCTAGGTGCTCAGAACTCAGCAGTGAAAAGATCAAATTCTTGCTTCAAGGTGCCTGCATTCCAGAGAGGAGAAGGAAATAAATCAACAAGCTAATTTCAAATAGTGACGAATTCAACAATGAAGATAAAGCAGAGCAATGGGCCAGAGGAAAACTGGGGAGGGGCCGTACTTAACCAGGGCAGCTTTGGTGAGGGCATTTCACATGAATACAGAACTTCCTCAAGGATGTGTGTTAGGATTTCCTTTTCAGATTTATTTCCCACGGTCCTGTTTGTCTTAAAAATAATAATTTTCGTGTCATAGATTATTCATTAGTAAATCAGTGTTTGTGAGTCTGCCTTTGTGACACTAGCCGAGGTCCCTCATAGTGAATGAAGTCACTCGAACATCTCACTTCAGTGATTTTCTGTTCAAGACGCTGCCACGTTTTTACCACTATGACAATCCAGTTTTCTCTGTTAAAATAGAATCTGAATAGTTTTCTGTATATATAATCCCTGTGGCCTATTTCTGCTATTGATCTAGTCATAGAGTTTAGTGTTAGGCCTAGTCGAGGGACAGAATTCAATGGTAAATGAGTATATATGATACTCATTTGTGATAAATGAGTTTAGTGTCAATGATTGGTTTAGTAGTAGAGTATAGTGATAACTAACTGTATACCTTTCTGTAATATTGGATTCAGCATAATCACCACTCTTTACTGTTGATTTCTCCCTTCTTTTCTTGACCTACAGAATTTCCTTGGAGAACGTGTGTTCCCTCCTACAGAGAATGTTCTACAGCACTTAGGAAAAAATTGTGGTAATAGCACGATGATGTAATTAGGCTCAATAAATGGATCTAGCTGTTTATAATATTGTACCTTATAGTCCTCCTTTAAAATCCAGCAACTATTGTTTCTACAATATTAAGATCTTCTCTATATAAAATTAAAAGATAATTGTAATGTTTATAAACTTTCTATTTCAAACTTGTGACTTAGAGACTTCAAGCTATGTATTTTGGATCAGAATAAATGGCCATGTCCCTTTAAAAAGTCTTTGTTAAATTAGTTTTTAAAAATACTGACCAAAAGAAGGTTTCTTATTGTTTCAGAGTTCATTAAATGATTTCCATACCTGAAAAATGTAATTTACTTGAAGTTCTTGTCTTAGTTTCAGTTTTCAGTTGTCTTTAAGAGTCTTATATTGAACCGTAGGATAACAGATAGACTGAATCCATAGATGCACAACATTTTGCGACGTGTATATTTTGAAGTTTTCAAGATAGTTAAATTACTGCTGTGATACATTTAATGCATTTTTCTGATTTCGTTATAGAACATTTAGATGTATTTTCCTTGTTTTCACTAGGAACAGGGAACCCATGCATGCTTTGGTAAAGTGCTGAAATTTAAGTGGTCACCATATTGCTTAAGTTTGTTTTGTAATAAGTTCTGTTATATTGGGTTAGCATGTAAATAGGAATAATTTGCAAAGCCCGATTTTATGCCTTATCTGCTAACATATAAATTTCTTTAATTTCTTACTTTTTAAAAGTAACATACTGTTTAAAGTTGCAGTTTTACTAATAGTAAGATGAACATTTAAATATGCGTTTTCTTCTTCAAATGTTTAAAATGTTTAGAGCATTCAATATTTGGTTGGTATCACTTGATTAAAAGTTACCCATTTAACATTTATATTTGATGTATTTATATTTAATAAAGGCAGAATCTATAGTTCCACTGTAAATTTAATACTTTCTGCAGGTTTGAGGGCATTTTCCAAGTGTAACTTAACTTACCAGTGTTTATGTGGAATCTACACAGATGGTGAGGCTGCACATCAAACTGCTGGATTTCAGAATTTTCCTCTTTTATAGGCTTTTTGGTTTTATTTTACATATTAATTTGTCTCCAATTATTACCAGATCCATCCCAAATGTCTACCAGGAATTGGGTTCCAGAATGTAAAAAAATAATTTAAAAGAACTCTATTAAATGAAACTTGAGAATCATTGGTTTCGGCCATACATTGAGTTAGTAGAATCCTAGAATTAGGGAGATTTTTTCCTATATGCTAAATCATATGGTTATTTATATTAAAAGGCTACAGTCAGAGTTAGCATTGAATAAAGTTAAAACATGGACTAGACATTATTTTCAACATGCTAGCAGCAATAAGAACCATACTTCTGGTCCTTTGTTTCTAAAAGGATTTGATGAAGTAGAATTCGCTTTTAGAATACATAGAGACGAAATTACTGCATTCCTTGGGGAAAATATAGAAAGGATCATTTGAAATGATAACTTTCAACTATTTTGAAATAAAGATGTCCTCTCCAAAAACTGAAGGTAAAAATCAGGCAACTCTTGTAGATCAAAAGGCTTCCAGCCATGACCAGTAAATTCATTGCTGTCATTAAGCTTCCCGAGGCAAATATACAAGCTGGAGTAATTCATGAATCTTTTGGAACTGCAAGTGAAAAATCAGTATTTATCTTAGTCCCTAAAGTCTCTAATTTGACATTAGTTAATTATATAAAATTCTTGTAGAATCTTAAAGTACTAGTCAAATTATTCCAAGTTTCCAAATATCTTCAACTAGCAAAGTTTCAGATAATAGATTATTGCTCAAAATTATTTTTCTTTCATACAGTATTATTGAGACACTAAGGAGCACTTTAGCTATACCAACTATGATATACAGGTGATTATGTTTGGCAATAACCAGAGACCTAGAATGTTGTGAAAACTCTGAGACTGTCACAAAAAATGTGAGACTAAAAATTCCCATTGGCTCTGCCAGTGCCCATGTTAGTTCTAGTCAAAGGAGAGAACGCATAACTGAGAAGCTCAACACAACAGGTTAGTTTCTTTTTAAAGAAATGGTTATCCAACCAGTGTTTGGATGGATTGACTTTGCTGCTTTTTCACTATTGATAATTATATTTATTATCAAGTGTCTTCCTGGCACGTAGTAAAATGTTTAATGAGTGTTAGCTCTTGGGATTGGCAGAATAATGGCCCTCCAAACCGTCCTGTCCTCATGCCCCAAACCTGTGAGTGGGTCACGTGGCAAAGGGAATTAAGGTTGCAGAAGCTAGTACGGTTGCTAAATCAGCTGAGCTGGAGTCAGTCAATGATCCTGGAGTATCTGGGGGGCAGAAGAGAGAACCGGAGAAATGGCATTTCAGGGAGGACTCCGCCTGCTGCTGCTGCTGGCCTTGAGGATGGAGGAAGGGGCCCAAGCTAAGGACTGCAGGTGGCCTCCGGAAGCTGGAACAGGCAGGGAAACAGACTGTCCCCTAGCACCACCAGAAGGAATGCAGCCCCGCCAACATCCTGATTTTAGCCTCGTGGAACCTGTGTCAGACTCCTGCCTTCCAGAAGCATAAGGTAATGAATTTGTATTGCTTAAGCCACCAAGTTTGTGGTAATGTGTTACACTAGCAATTACAAAGCTATAATTGTTATCTCTAGAAAAGTATCAGGAACAATGTAAGATTGTTTACAGGTTTTGCATGTCTTTGCCTGAATTCTGACTCTTAGGGAAGAAACAGTTCTGCGTGAGCCATGAGTGTTATATAAACCCTCAGCTACCAGTGTTTGCATAGAACTTACATCTTAATAATATCATGATCGTTAAGGTTGATAGTAATATTCTCCTGACAGATCAGGGAATGTCATTATTATTTATATAATGGGCATCGATTGCTGTAAACGACTTTGCTTTAACTGCCAGGAGTGAGCCCTGAGCTTGGGGTTCATCTCTCATAGTGCACTGTTTAAGAAGGCATGCTCTGAAGCCAGCTTCTCTGGGTTCAGATTCCTGCTCCAACTTTGCTGGCTTGTTTAGCCGTGGACAGGTTCCATCACCTCCCTGGGCCTCCATTGTCTGGTGTGTGAAATGGAGATAAGAGGAGGACCTGCCCTCGTAAGCATGGGGTAAAATAAAGCATTTACCTGAGGACTTGTTGGGAGCTGGGAGCGTTCAGTCAGGGTTCGCAGCTGCTGCCAGCGCTGTCGTCAGGCAGTGTGCAGGGATGCGTCTCTGTGCAGTGACTGCGCCCGGACTTGTTGGAGTGTCCTGCTGTTCTACTTTCATTCTACTGTTTTGATTTGTTTTTCTCTTCTGTGAATGTCTATAACTGCCTCAATATTCCTTAGGATGAAGTAGGCCAGAAATTAGTATGTTAGGGACACTTGATTACAAACAATAGAAGCACAACTCAAACTAGCCAAAGCACAAAAAAGGGAACATTAACTTACATAATTGACAGCTGCAGAAATGACTTCAGGTATAGCCGGATCAAGAGGCTTCTGCCTTCTCTCTCCCTCTCTCTCTGATTCTCTGGTACAGACACATACACACACACACACGCACATACACACTATCCTGAATAATTAGGAGTGGTTACAGTGTTCACTAAGAACTTCTGGGAAATAGGCACACGGGCGGCAGTGTTCAGATTATTTGGTATACAGCTGTTTTTTATTTAGCAAGAATTTTAGACTTGCAGAAAAGTTGCAAAAATAGAGAGTTGATATATGCTCTACATTCAGCTTCCCCTAATGTTAACAATTTACGTAACCATAGTAAAATTATCAAAGCCAGGAAATTAACATGGGTGCAGTCCTCCTAATCACAGATCTTACTCAGATTTCACCAGTTTCCCCCAGCGTTCTTCTTGTGTTCTAGGATCCAGTCCAGTGCCCACACTGCATTTAGTTACTGTTTTCTTCATCCTCTCCAGTCTGTGACAGCTTCTATTTTCTTGTCTTTCATGACCTTGACATTTTTGATGAGTACTGATTAGCTGTTCTGTAGAATACCTTTTGATTTCAGTGTATCAGCTGTTTTCTCCTGATTATGTTGACGATATGCGGTTTGGATGAGCGCCACAGAAGTGCTGGGTCCTCAGTACACTGTGCCCTCAGTACACTGTGCCCTCGGTACACTGCGCCCTCGGTGCACTGCGCCCTCGGTGCACTGTGCCCTCGGTACACTGTGCCCTCAGTACACTATGTCCTCAGTACACTGTGTGGGGGGCACATACATGCCTTACAGGCGATGTTCTCCTTCATCGCTTGGTTACCGTGACCTCTGCCGGGTTTCACCACTGTAATGTAAACTTACTGTTTTTCCCTTGTAATTGAGGGAGATCTTGGATAAGTATGCAGTATCTGTTTGTCTTAAAACTTTTGCTCACTGGTTTTAGCATCCATCAGAAATCTTGCCTGAAACTGCTTTTCTTGTGGTGTTTTTCTAATGATGATTTTGTATATCTCTTCATTCCTTCTACAATGACTACTTAGAAGTTTCCTGTTAGGAAAAGCTGTCTCTTCCCCCTGGTTTATGTATTCAATTATTTATATCAGCATAGACTCGTTGATGTTTATCTTGTTCTGTGAGTTATAATAACAAGACTGTCATTGCTTATTTTGTCACTTGCATTATTCCAGCGTTAGCCATTAGGAGCTTGTGCAGGTTGGGTTCTGTATCTTTGAAAATTGCCATCCTTTTTCAAGTACTTATTTTCTGGCACCACAGGATATTTTAGCCTCATCTCGTAGATTCCCTGCCCAGCCCTGGAATCAAGCACTTCTCCAACAAGCTCTGATTCCTTTTATTGGAAAGTACTATTTGGAAACCAAGGTCTGGTCAGCAGATATGCTCATTGTTGTTGGAGCTGGAGCAGACAGAGCTGGGAAATATGTGTCTGTTAATCCCTGCCTTCAGACACACCTCCATGTGTTTGTTGTATCCTCGTGTGCACGTAGGGTCATCACAGCATTGTAACCCATACCCCGGAGAGAGACGGATTTACTAACCAGAGGACAGCAGTGGTGGCCGGTTCTTCTCGTCTTCAGCCTTAGAGTGTGCAGTCGGAATATTAGTTTCTAAACTTACGCAGGTTACGCCTTTTATCCTCGATCCCCTCCATGTGGTTGTGTTAGACACTTGTGCCAGAGTCTCACAGAGCAGGGAGGGTCTTCAGTTCATACGTGTGACATCTCATCTCATCTGGTGTTGTGCACTAGCTCTGGATAGACTCGACTGTCATTAATTTTCATAGCATTGGGAGGGTTTAGAATTATTTCCATATCTAGGATGTTAAGGTTTAACCCTTCTGGTACTGTGCCACCTCACCCTTAGGCCGCCTCGCAGCCCCCGTCTTCAGCCCCACCGTCTCTCCCAGTCCTCCTTTGCTCACCGCTCAGATGGGCTGGCTGCGGGTGGGGTGAAGGGAAGAGATCACGTGCTGGACTCCGGTGATTTTCCTCTTTGACTCCCTTAATTTGCAGTCATAAAATTCTCCAAGTGATGCTGACGGCATAGTTTTATGTAGAATTTACTTTCTGCTTCTTGTCTTTGTTTGACTTTGGAGAGGGCATTTTGGGAACTAGGAAGATGTGCAGCCGGTTGTTGTTGTCCTCAGCCACTGCCAGGTACCGAGTGTTTGGGCTGGGATGGCAGTGCCCCGTGGGGACTGAGCTGAAGCTCGTGAAGCTGAGTGCCCCTGAGGGACTGCTGCTTCTGTTCAGTGTTTATCCCACAATTGTCCTATGCAAACAAACTGCAGACCCGAGTTGCTACTGCTTATAGACATGGTATCTTGGGAACCTCTAATTCATCAGCCATCATGCCTCAAGTTTAACCTCTAAATTGCCAGCCTGGTGGTGAGGACACCAGCAAGATCTTCCCCTGTGAATCAGCAAATTATTGAAAAAGTGTCTACCGAACATGTGATTGGTTTTTTCTTTCCGTGCTTAAAGATGTTGCTCCATCGTTGTCTGGTTTGCGTTGTTTCCATGAGAACACTCCTGTCACCTTTATCTTTGTTCCTCTCTACATAATGTATCTTTTTCTCTGGCAGCCTTTAAGATTTCCTCTTTCTTACTGGTTTTGAGCAATTTGATTATGAGGTGTCTTGGTCTTTTTTTCTTCATGATTCCTATGCTTGGAGTTTAATAATATTCTTTATAGGTTATAGAACAGTTTTTACACAGTCGTTCACATGTTTCTGTGTGCCAGGACTCCAATTACACATATATTAGGCCACTTGAAGTTGTGTTAGTTGTCTTTTGTCCTGAGATGTAGTAGTTACTTGGAAATCATTTGATCTTGTCAGTTGTCGCTTTTCCGCTTTGTTGGGCAGCCTTCATAACTTTTCCCAACTCCAGAGGCAGCACCCTTCTACTGATCTCTCTGACATCAGCTTAGCTCAAAGTTTCTCCACTACAGGTGGTGGGAACTGGAGCTATTCCTGGCCCTGTGTGAACTCTTAGGGGTTGCTCCAGCCTGCTCCTTTCTGGTGGCTCTTCTCCCCGCCCCCGCTGGTGTCCTGGTGAGTGTGCTGCGACTCACGGGGACGCTCTGCAGCTCTTCTCTGTGCAGCTCCTCCTCCAGTTCTCTGCAGCCCTGCCAACTCCGGCTGCTGTGGCTGCTCTGGGCTCCCAGCTCTGTCTCCTCGACCCTGGGAGACCCTGCCCTCTGGTTCCCTACCTACGCTGTGGTCTGGAAGCTGCAGGCAGAAGGCTCACCTCACCTGCTTCCCTGCTCTCAGGGCTCCCTGTCCTGCACCGCCTGTGGTCCAGGGTGACAACTCTTGTTTCATCTGTTTTGTCCAGTTTTTTAGTTTAAGGGAGGAGGGTAAATCCAGTCCTGTTACTTCATCATGGCTGGAAGCAGAAGTCTTCCTATGTTTGAATTTTTAGTAGTGTTGACCTGTCTAGATTGTGTCTTTAACCCTGCTGTGCGTGCAGTAAAGCATCTGCCATTTTCTCACCTCATCCATCATTTAACCTAATGTCCATCTAGATGGAGGGGTCTGGGGAGAGGAATGATCTTCCATGCTACTATCGCTGGCTAGAAATACAGACACAGCGGACAGAATCTAGCCAGGGTGAGGTTGTCCACTCGAGATATGTGTCATAGCCGTAGGGGCAAGTGTTGAGGATCTGCCCCACTCTCCCACCTTTTGCGGAAGGGAGACCCATAGTAATTACTGGGCCTCTCTCCCAGACCCAAGGTGCAGGGCTGAAAACCATCAGGAGGGAAAACCCAGTGTATACCCCCCACTTTGGCATTCCCCCCAAATTGTGAACTTCCAAAGCACATGAACTTGAGAAATACACTTTGTCTTAGTAGGTACATGTGTCTCTTAGGGGCTGTGTGAGAAAATGGAAAGGAGGAATGGCAAGGGCTTCCCCTGCCGCAGCCTCGCCTCTGCTGCAGTTGAGCTTCAAAGAGGAAATGGTGCAAACACTGGCTCCTCCTGAGCCTGGGGCTGAACACACAGGAGTCCCAAGTCCTTCAGGTGATGAACACAGGGCCCAACTCGAAGATGCAGAGAGGTGCACCAGCCTAGAGTGGAAAGAGTGGCTTGGTCTGCGAGTGGAGGGCGAGTCTGAGAGCACAGAGAGACACGCTCTTCTCCCTCACTGGTGACTGCCTCATACAGGACTCCCAGCGGACCTGTCCCAGGGCTCGGCTGGGGCCTCACTCAGCCCCCCAACTGTGCCATTCCCACGTGGCATGGTCCCTGGCCACTGGCCCTTAGCTCTGGCCCGCAGTCCCCTCGAGCACTCCTCTCCCATGCAGCCCTCAAGACTGCTTCCACCACAGCTGAGGCAGGGGTCCCACACCCGCCGTGTGTGGTTCCTTTGTCTGGCATTCATGTTGTCACTGAGATCTTTGGAGTTTGCCCCACTAGATTCACGAGCTGGAGGGCAGGACCTGCACTGTTTACCTAGCACAGTCTTGCCCATAGGAGGCGCTCAAATGACTGTCAAAGGAACAAAGTGTGAGGCCAGGCCGCCCAAGGCGGGGTCTTCCTAAGGTTCAGAAAGAGGAGCTAACAGAGAGCTGTGCCATCCTTCCAGCCTGCATTCAGAAGGTAGATGGATGGCCCCCTGGCTGTCAGCTGCCTCCTGTTCGCCACACTGACAGCAGGTGGCTCTCTTGCCTTTCATTTGGCAGAGAGAAATGTTCATTCAGTCCATACGGGTTGACCACAGATTGCGCACTATGCAGTGTCCTTTTCAGCCACAAAGGAGATGTGACCATTGCACTCAGGGTAGTGGTTCTTTGCCCTCTCTAGGGCAGTGGTTGGTTCATGGGCCTGAGCACAAATTTACGCAGTTGCTCAGTGTTCTTCTTGGAATAGGACGTTACAAGAAGGAACCACCGCAGGGTGAAATCCAGCCCCAGTAGGGCTTTGAGGGCTGAGGACAGCTCAGCTGCCCTGGACTCGTGCCTCCCGACTTTGTCTCCCCGTCAGACCTGTGCCTGGGGAAGCCTGCTCTGCCCCGGGGCTCGTGTGTCCCCTCAGGGAGCCCTTGTCTAATCGCTCTCTAAACGAATACACCCAACCTTCTCATCCTTTCCTCCCTCAGTTCTTCACGCAGGCTCCGGAGTGACCACCTCCCAAGGCAGGTCTAAGCTGTCCTCTTTCTGTGTAAGTTCGGGTTAGAACTATATCTGAGCCCCTCGCAACCTCCTGCCAGCCTCCCTGCCTCTCACCACCCATCCTGGCAGCAAGTCCATAGGGGCACCTCCCAGTCCCCCCAGAGAGCCCTGTTTCCCCGGCCCCTAGGACTTCTGTGCGTGCCTGCCTTGCCCCTTTGCCTGCGGGCAAGCCGTTCCCCACCCTGCAGGTCCTCGGCATTGACTCCAGTTTCTCACTGTACCTGTGGGTCCTTTTTGCGTTACGTTACTGAGTCTCCCCGGCGCCACGGCTGGTTTTGTCCCCGCGGGATCCCCAGTGGCCGCACCTTGAGGGAGAGCTAGATGCAGAAGGTGGTCTTTGTCTTTTGCAGAACAGACCCTGCTTCCCACCCCAGGCGGGAGCGGCCAGAACCTGGGGAGAGGCGGGGCTGGCGCTCGGGTCGAGGCCGAGGCGCCTGGTCTGGGACATCATCCCTAGTTGAAACTGTCCGTCCGTTCGGCTAACGTTGCAGGAGCGGAGCGCCTGTGCGGGCGCCCGAGAGTGCGTCCTGCCGGCAGGGCCCGGAGCCGCCGCGCCGCCCGCCCTCGGTGCAGCCCTTCCCGGCCCGCGCTCGCTCCGCGCCGTCCGGGCCACTTGCGGGAGGGTCGGGTCGCTGTCGGCCGCTTCCACCCGTCCCGGCGCCCCGGCCCGCAGGTGCTGGCCGCCCGGTTCCCTGCCGCCGGCCCTCCCGCGCGGTCCCAGCGCCCCCCTCCGCCCCCGGGCGCCGCAGGGGGCCGGCCGCCGCCTCCCCAGCTCCCGCCCCCGGCGCCGCAGCGGGCTCAGTCCTCGGCGGGCGGACTCGGCTCGGCAGCGCGCGCCATGGCCCAGGACCTGCGCGGCCTCCCGCGGCGCGGCCTCTGGCTGCTCCTGGGTGAGTAGGGCCGGGGTCCCGACTCCCCGCCGGGCGGTCCCGAGGGGAGACGGGCGCCTGTCCCGCGCGGGGCCCGCGACCAGCTGGCGGGGTCGTCGGAGCGGCGGGCGCCGCAGCCCTGGCTGGGCGGGAGGCCCCGAGGCGCAGGGGACACGGGCGCGCGCGCGGGGGTCCGCGCAGGGCTGCGCCCCCGACCGGGGAAAGGGGCGGCTTCGGGGACATCGCGGGGGCCAGGGAGTTTTGAAAGGCAAGGAGCAACTGTCTCCCGCGCACCCGGGAACTCACTTGTTTTCAGGAGGGAAAATAGGACGCGCCGGCTCCCCCCTCCCGGTACCTCTGTGTCCTGGAGCTCGGAGCTGTGATGGCCAAGAGTGGGAGCCGGCGCCTTGCAGACTGAGTATTTGGGAATCAGAACCACGGCCCATTTATCTAGAAATAAGTTAAAACTGAAAATCTGACTCCTTGTCACAGCAGTTGCTTATTTGCAAATAAATCTTCCCTAGGATGTCCTTTGCAAACATGAGGCCAGCCGTCCTTCTCTGGGACATTCTCACAGCTTTTCTTGTTTGCCTGTTGACTTGGCACTTCTGGCTAATAAAAATTCAAAGAGGGCCTGCTGGTGAGGTGGCAGAGCATGCTCGGCTTTCGGTTTTGAGAGAGATTATAAACCTAAACCCAGTGGTCACAGGAATGAGCACAAGACTTAGCAAAGTTTAGGAAAAACTTGTCTTCACTTCCCTGTCCACAGTGTTTTCATAAAACCCTAAAACTGAAACCGCATGGTGACAGGAACGTGCACAACACTGAGCAAAAGTTGGCAAGAAATTGTTTTTACTTCCCTTTCCACAACGTTTCATAAAATGCTAGGAAGCATTTCTAGACCGCTTTAGCTATTGGATTCACTTTGTGTGTTTAGTTACCTTTTAATAGACACTAGGGCACTGAAGTGGAATAATCGGGTGGTCCTGGGAGGACCCCCAGCTATCACTGGTACTTGTGGCCTTTCCCCAGAACAGGTGATGTTGGTCAGAAGCAGCTGCTGCACAGGTCCCCCTCGGTGCTGGCGCTGATGGTGATGGGGTGACCATCGCACGGTTTTTGTAGCTGGAGAAGCTTGGGGCAATGTGGCTTGTCCTGGAGATGGCCCAGCCGCTGGGGGGTTGGGGGGTACTGAGGGCTGCACAGGAGCTGTGTGGTTCCAGGTCTCCCTGTTCCTAGACCTCGCCAACAAGTGTCGATCTGCATAAACCCTTGGCATCTGCTTCAGTCTAATACAATCTGAAAACTGATCTTGCCGCTTAAGGGTTTTGGCTGAAGTTATGTGAAAAGCAAGATCTTATGATATTATTCTCTTCTTTTGTGTTTAGATCCCTTTGGCTTGACATGGAACTTACTGTTTTGGTTTCCTAAGAAATGAACATTTCTCTCTTAGCAAGACAGAGAGCTGGGTTATGTCATTTTTTTTTTTTACCATAAATAAACAAATAAAGGCTCTTTCCTGGTATCTAGAAGCTGCACCCTCTAAAGCTTGTGTAAGCAAAACGCTATGTCACGATCATATATAAAGACCTTCCTTATTTACCAGGAAAGCAATACATCCTCTACTAGAAGTCCGAAGTCCTGTAATCTTGGCATGATTCTGAGTGGTCTGGCTAGTGTTGTATCTTGGAAAAATAAACACAACTTTATGAAGTTATCAGTAAATTAATGTCATTGGAGCCCAGCAGTAATTAGTAGAATTACAGAGCAAAAAGCCTCTTCTTCCCAAGTTGCAACATTAGCCAGATCTCCCTGGTGGTGAAGATTTTGCTACCCAAAACGGCAATGTGGAATTTCCTTGTTTTCTTTTTTTAAGTATGCTAGGCCATAGGTTCAAGAAGTCATCTGCAACAGCTTTACAATCAAGCTCTTTTTCTTATTCGACCTGCATGCAGTTATTAAAATCTCGCTATTCATATGATTTCTTTCTGCTCCAGGCTTCATGTATGGTCTTCTGTCTAGAGAAGACTCTGATGCGACCACATGCCTTTTAAAAGTTTTGTATATAGCCGTGAAAAGTTTGTCATCAATCAGAAAAGAAGGAGGTTTCCAGCAGACCCGGGGTTATTCTACGATGACTGCCTTGTGAGCTCCTGTTTTTATGAGCCCACCTTCGCCCGGGAGTGCCGAGGCTGACTTGCATGAACTCACCTGTCATCTGTCCTGGGAAGCACGCGCCTTCCCTGGCATCATGCTGGGGGGGTTGGGGGTTTTCTTGCAAGGCTGCTATATTTATTGAAACAGAGAACTTTCTTTAAATACAAGTGTAACGGTTTGGAACCGACTGGGACATCACGGGAAATGCAATATAAGTGACCACTTCAGATTGTCATGTTTTTTTAAATCTGGAGGCTGTTCTAATCCTGGAGTCCAGATCTGAAGGAGTCTTATTTGCTAATCAACTCAGTGTGTTTGTTTACTCTGTATATTTAGCTGCTGGGAGAAATTTCTGGATTTTTGTCTCCCTTCCGTCAGTATGTGCCGGTCAGTGTACATATCGTCAGTCCCAGGTCAGGGCTGTTGAGAAACGTTTATATCCACATTGGAAGTGGGGGTGAATGACACTTCAAGGAAATGGTTTAGGTAGAATTCTTACTTAAGAGAAATAGCTAATTGGAAAAAGTTTGTTCCTCCTGATTTTATTTCCCCCAGAATGAGCCAATCCCACAGCTTCTACTTAGCTAAAACTGGCTTCTGGCAGAGTATGTAGTGTGGATGCCACTTGTGGTATAAATTTCAGTGAAAATACAGAGCCTCCGAGAGTAGAACCCCACGGGTTTGGCTCCCAGGGCCCCTTCTTTGGCCGCGAGCCCATCTTTCCTGAGATCCACCTGGCATGGTGGGCTCTCCCCTCAGAGGCACTGACCCAGGCCTGCCCACGAGGACTGTCCCCAGGAGGGCACAGGACGCAGGCTGAGCGATCCTTTTTCTTCTGGAGCTGTGGGGGGAAACTCTTTCCTCTGGGCTGGAGCTGAGCGTTGGGCTGCCAGATCCCATCCTGTGAGCCACGAGGGGAGGGGAGTGTCTGTCCATGACAACACAGACAGACAGACAGAGCTCTCCTGACACCTTTCCTGCCCCTGGATCCAGCCAGTGGGGTGGACTTTTCAACCCTGTGAACCCATCACGTTTAAGCTGAGTGTGTCCCTTGCAGGACGGTGCCTGATGGGTGGCAGATGCTCAGTGGGCTCTGAGAAGGGCACACCTGGGGGCCATGGGAACCCTGCACAGGAGCCTCTTGTTCCACTGGGGACTGAGGGAAGGCCTCCGGAAGGAGGAGATGCTACAGCTGAGAAGACGTGCAGGCTCTGGGAAGGGGATGAAGGGGAGATGGGTGCTGCTGTGGCTTGAGCACCTCCTCTGGGCCCTGGGCCGCCTGCCTCTGCACTTCAGGTTCTTCTTGACAAATGGAGAGACAAGGCCATGCATCACCTCTGCCCTGTCCCCAGCCCACCATACCAGAGGCGCCCTTGGGCTCCCATTCCCCGCTAACACACACAGAGCCCCTAGAGGGATGTCCTCGTCACCAGCCCTCCCTGCCTCCAGGACAGGATGACCTTGGGGCTGGTGATGTTTCTAGAGAACTCGTTTGTTCTTACTGAGGAGGGTTGTGTCAACACCATGGCCATAGGAGGGCTCCCAACCTCAACAAGACCTTATTTATGTTAACATAATGAAGTTATTGTTGTCTGGGGAAAAGATTTTTTTTCCCTCAGACTTTTATTTCAGTATTTTCTTTGACATTGAAAGCCATCACTTCAATCATCGTTTAAAACATGGATTCTAAGCAGCTTTGTAGGAGCAGGGTCCACGGAGACGCACCCGCCCAGACTCGGCAGGGGGTCTGGGGACCCGTGGGCCTGAGCATCACAGCCGAGCCTTTCTTACTTTGTTCCTCATTAGGCCTCACAGTGTCGCCTTTATTTTCCTCTTCAGTCACTACCTCCCTCCCGCGAGGAGTTCCCATGGTGGAGTCTGTGGGACCAGAGACAAGAAACCCCAGCCGGCCTCCCCTCCCACCTGGCCCATGTCCACTCTGCCCTCTGCTCTCTGCCCTCCAGTCCCACAGGCCCCGCGGGCCAGCACCTCCCCCCTCTCCCAGCTGACTGCCGGGCCTCCAGGAAGCCTTCCCTGGTCACCCCCAACCACCACCACTGGAGTGTGACCCTCTGCTGTGCCCCCTGCACGTCCCCCTCAGAGCTCTCGTCACACCACATTGGCATTGCCCCCCTGTATGTGTCATGCTTGGACTACAGGTCAGCCCACCTCTGGGTGCCTCCTGTCAACAGCTCCTGAGTTAAATGAATTTGCTGGAAACCAAGGGGGCAGGGAAGCAGAGTGAGCTGGGCCGGCTCACTCATAGGGGCTGGGGTGCAGCCACCCACACTCCCCAGGGCTCCATACCCCACCTGAGAGGCTCACCAGGAAGGACTCTCCTGAGCCAGACTTCACCTGGGAGGGCACCTGAGCAAATGAAGGGGTCGTAATGCTTGCCATACTGTCACGTAATCTGGCCGGTTGTCCACTGG